CTGATGAACTTCCACCCATTATTTCTTGTCTTACTCTCAAGTGCTATGGAGAAAATAAATCAACACTCTCTTCCCTGTGACAGCCCTTCAACTCTTGGAAGACGGCTATCAGGTCTCCCCTAAGCTTTCTCTTCTCTGCCCTCAGCGTCTTTTTTTTGTATCATGGTGACCAGAATTGCTCACAGTATTCCAAGTGTGATCTCACTGCACACATAGAGAGATATTATTTTCCGTGATCTTGATGCAATTTAAAAAGGTTCTTCTGAGATAATGGGGCATAGAGAGACTTCATAGATAAGGATTATTATGCATAGGTCTTTCCTCACTTGCTGTGTCCTTTGTAGTTTTCCAGAAAAATACTTGTTTCTTAGGAGAAAAAGAAATGGATGCATGCCATTAATGGACTTTCACATAATCAGCATCCTCAAAATGTTATCTTTACCACAAACAAAACCAATCCTTTTTGCCCCTTCCAAAATATTTTTATCAATTTCCATGAAAATCACCTTGCATTTTCTCTGCTTTTTAAATTCCTTGTTCTACTTGGCTATATTCTTCACAACTATTGTTTTTCTGTATTACAACTTTTCCTCATTCCCTGCATTTAGCAGCAAGCAATCTTTCACCATTCCACCATTTCCCAGTGGCATAACTCCCTGTACTTCTGTCACATGATTTTTCAGTCTCTTCCAAGCAATTTCCATCATATTTCCTTATGTCAACTCTTCTTTCATTCCCCTGGGAGATTAATCTATCATCTAATCCTTTGTCACATAGGATGCATACCTTTTCTTTCTTCAGGTATTCTATTTTCATTTTTCCCCCAAACTCATTTTTTTAGCAAGACCATTCTTAACATTGCCAAAAAATGATGTTTGACATTCAGAAACATAACACTTTTGTATATTGCACTAATTTACTCCGTATTTCATGATGAATCCGGATATTAATTATGCTTTTAGATTGATATTCATTCCCTTGCCTTGGGTAAACAATAGATTTATGACTCGAGTATGTATGAAAATCCCATTTTTTAATTTCTGAATGGCCCAACACTTTTTCTGCATTCTCTGACCTACCCATCCATTCATGTTCATCTTGCAGAGTAACATTTCCCCTTAATCTTAGTCATTCAGAATATTGCATAATATCTCCCCAAAAGCATACTAGATGTCTGCCATTATTACTATTCAGTGGATCATAACAGGCAACTATCATCAACAAAGGAACTCCTACTTTCATGTACACCCACTACAACAGAATTCATATTTAATGACATACATTTTAGTTGTTACAATCACCTTCATTTGTACTACACCAGACCAGACCAACTTTTGATCTTGTTTTCTATGTATCCTGTATGACCAGATGAATTTATATGCTCTTGGTTCTAATGATTAAACAATATCATCTAGCAAGATGAGGAAGTATGCTTTCTCTATCAGTGCCACTGCCCTGTGGAATAATATCCCCAAGACATCCAAATGTCCATTATCATTTGTGCTTTTAACCAAATCTTGAAAAGCTGGCCTTTTCCTCATGGCATGGTCAAAGGTAGTTGATGGAACCCTTTTGGTTCAGGAGTGTGAGGAAAAGTTTTCATTGTTCCCTTTTGATACTGATCTTCCATTTTTTAATTGTTAAGATGCCCAGAACCATTACGGAGTCAGGTGATTCTAAAAATATGCTGTATCAACAAATAATTCAGAGCTTTTACATCTTTCCTTTCCTATCTCTTCTCCCCTTCCATTCTCTTTCCCCTCTCCACTTCACCTCACCATATGCTTGACACCTTTGGGACAAATGGTCCTGACCACAATCTTTTTCATGCAATCAGGACTTTTATCTAATTTTTCAATAAAATGGAAGAATACACTTCTTAATCTCAGCCATAGCTACACCATATGTTACATTCCCTGAAAACAATAGTTAGTATCAGGTAACTTTTTTCCCAGGGAGCTGCCAGCTTTTACTTGGATAGGAAGTAAAAATTAATGAAGTTCTGTACTATATTGATCTATCCAATCAATTGTATCCAGAAGGCTTCTCAGATGTCCAAGCAACAGAGTAGGGTCATGCCCTTAGGCCTCGTTCTTATAACACATATAGTACATATGTAATAGGTACAGCAAATAGGGATTAATTGACCTAAGTAATTAATTCACAGGGGCTTAAATTTAACTCCAAACTCAATCAGTCATAGCCAGGATTAAGTTAACTTCACTCAATCAAGTAATCTAGAATGGCTGACAATCACATTCCTCAATTCCATGACAACTCGCTGCTAAGGTCCTGCAGTTTAGAATGTCTTAAACATTGATTAGCTGCAGTGGGCAAGCCAGACCTACTGTTGCCTACCTACCAAATGAGAAAGGAAACGATGATGTAACCAAACCTTGCAAATACTTTCCTAGTCAAGAACACATATTGTACTGGCTCTTCACGGAGAAAGATTGTGATTTGATACTCTTAAAGTGGAGGATTTTGACCCTGTTCATAGGACCACACTATAAAAACTAGTAATAAGTGTGGCTGGTTAAAATGTAGTAAGAGCGAGCCTTGGAATTGGGTTTTGTATAGATATTTGTCTCATCAATAATAATTTCTGTGAGAAACAGATGGTATTTTGGGGGGTGGGGGGAGGAATAAACAGTTATCACATCATTTGGGTCTGAGTGTATGTATTTACAGTAAATGTTTTTGTAGTCCCAAATAACCTTTGTAACTAGACAAAGTGATCTTGAACAAAAATATTCTTGAAACAAAACCATTATTAGAAATTGCCAAGTATTTATCACTACACTGTTTATATAGATAATCTCCATTGGTACAGCAAGCATGTGTCAGAAGCATCTGTGGCAGGGTTTAGACTGAGTTGATATCTTATCCTCATTTTGGGGTGGGGTGGGGGGAGAATAGGCTATATACTTAGTAAATAAGTTATAAAGGATTGTGAATTCAGACACTGATTTTATGCCTTAGCTACTTCAAAAGCAGAGTACAAGGAAGTATTTCGAGCTGCAAGTGATCTCATTATCTTCTGCCAGACTATGGTGCAGATAATACATTGGACAACCTTCTCTGGGAATAACTGGGGAGGGGCATATGTCTGTTAACCGATTCAGTGTGTGTGTCAGACAAAGCTAATAGTAAATCACAGTATGAACAGAAACACCTTCAGTCATTCTGTCAGCCTTGCAGGATAAACCAGATAGGAATCACCACAGATGCGCTAATTCTGCTTTATTGTAAAGCTACATTGACAGAATCTTGCAAGTCTGAAGGTACAGTTCTTCCACCACCCCCAACTCCTTTACAGTCAGAGAAACCAGGAAGGTTTCTGCGGAGCCTCTTGTCCTTGCTCTGTCTCTTTATCTGTTATTGAAGGGGGGAAGCATTCCAGCAGAGTAGCTGTCTGTAAGAAAATCAAAGGTGGCAATTAAACTGGACAGCAGCACTTAAACCACCAAAACTTAGTAACATTTTGATTTTCTTTGTTTGGAAAATAAAAGGGTAGCCTATATGCCAACCAATAGAAGATGCTACTTGTACCTACCTTCAAGAAATCACCAGTGTATTCCCACTGGGACAAACTGCTTGTAAGGGTCAGTGCCTGAGATGGTTTCAGGCTTTCAGCTGACATAAAACTTTGCAACTCATGCCCTGTAGCATGATATGTTAAAAAGGGCCTAACAAAAGGAGCATGTTGGAGGATATATGTATCACTATAGTAGAACATTTTATATCCTGGACACAAACAGAGCTTTTGTTACGACTTAGGACATGTGTACATTAACTCAGTCATTGATCTGAAGAAGACAGAGAATATAAGGGGTTAGACTCCAGGGATATGGATTTGAAGTAGCTTTAGTAGGACTGGAAAAGACATCAGAAGTCCAACAACTATGGGATAGAAAATAGTGGAGGATAAAACATTACCATTTCCAGCCTTGGGAGGGCTTCTAAAATTTAAAGAAATTCACTGAGAAAACATGCTACTAACAAAACATATCATTGGGTACTTGCTTTCTGATTACTGTAATCCATAATGGAAAAAATAATTGTTTAAGAAATCATTTTTTCTAGTCCAGTCTGAAAGTACAGGGACCTCTTAAAGGTTGAATTTCAATATCCTGGAAAGATAATGAGAACCAAAAGGTAATGAAAAAATATCTTTCACAAATCAGTTTGAACTAAAAATGCACACCGGGAGATGAAAGGTTAATATTTTGTTCCAAGATTTTAACAGATTAATATTAGTTCATAAACATGTGCATACATATGATAATACTGGTCATAATAAACCCATGAATAGAGTTAGGCATTTCTAAATTGCATAGTATGGGATATAGGAATATGAATTATTACTTATTTATTCAATGCATACCATATTTTTATCATTTTCACCATGATACTCAGAAGTGTAGAAGTGGTCTCAACCATCCATGTAGAAGCTGTGAGGTAAGTTAGAAAAAGAGCTCACTCAATAATTTTGGGGGCTATATTTTAACTCAGCCTCCCCATACCTGGTAGCTACAACTCCAATCACTATCAGTAACCAATGAATGTAGTCCATCTCATTTGATGGTGTAATCGTCTGGCTGAAGAAGGCTATTCTAATCACTAATCTCATGCTGCTTCAACAAATTAGATTTCTCATGTGCCAGTGGACTCAGATCATTCTTTATATCTTTGTGTCAGCAGAGAAATATGTCAGTGTAAATTTTACTGTGTTCACAGTCTAGCTTCAGCAATGAGGCCAGTAGTATTGCCACCTCTACACAATTTAATGCAGTTTAAGGTAGTAATTAATGGATTCTCAAGCATCCTTATCCCACCCAGCCTCAATTTCTTTTGGGGATAAGCAAAACTAATTAGTTCAATTTTTCATTATAAAATATAGTGGGGAAATTTGGGATATTCAGGATGTGATCCAATTCTTTTTCTTTTTTTGCAGTAAGACTGTATCCTAGGAGATAATCTTTTGTTTAAAACAACAACAAAACAACAACAACCTGTCAATCAGGACAAAGTAGTCTTAACTGTTCCTTCCTGCTTGTTCCTCTCATACGCCACACTAACCATTAACCAGATTACTGATTAATCTCCTGCGATTATTGATCTTGGAAATTGATGTCCTATGGTTTAAAAAAAGGAAAAACAATCCAGGCCAATAAGTCTACTCTGTGCAAGCTATACAGTCTTTCTTGCAGCCCAAGACCAAATGAAGGAATAAGGCAGTGACCAAATGGGGAAGGGCCTGTGTAGTCAATAGGAAATGGGATTATTCCTGACTCTGATGCAATTGCCAGCCTCATTACTGAAGCATTGCATTGTTCATAAAGCAAAAACCCACATCAGGAAAAAAAGGAAGAATTTTAATAGATGACTGCTCTCAAAACACAGACTTGGCAAGACCTGAAGACATTGTGAGTACACATCCCTTAAAAACAGCCACGCACCTTCATGCTGTGGTAAATGGAATGTGAGGATTAGCTCCATGGTTAATTTCTCTCTACAATATTTGTGGGAGAAAGGGACATTATAGCAAAACACAAGAGGGTTGATAAAATGTTTCAAAATGTTAGTGTGGTGGTTCTGGATATCAGCACTTTTTAATTTGCTGGATTCTAAAAATAGCAAGTTTGGGGGGAAAAACTTTATAAATTGCAAAGTCTTGCCATTATTAATTAAACAATAAATATTCTTGTTTTCTTCTGTGTCACATAGAATTATTCTTTTTATCACCTTTTTTAATATCTTCCCTTGCATTACATGTCCTAGAACCAATAGAATACTTGTAGCAGCCTTCTCCAAGCTAACTCTCTTCAGATATTCACAAATTAGGGAGTTAGAGAATTAACATTTTTTGTGGCGCATTAACTTGAGGAAGACACGTTTATTTCCATGACCAAAAAAAAACCTTAACAAGTTGATAAGCTTGAAAAATCATACAATTTCACAAATCTTACTTAGAATTTTAGGGCAGCTTTTCCCAACCTGGTATTTTCCAGATGTGTCAGAATATTCAATCATTTTCAGGAATCACAGCAGCACTTATAAGAATGGTCTTCTCCAATTCTTGTTTAGCCTAAGGTTGGACTGAAACACAGCAACTGGTTCAATGGAACAGGACAGATTCCTAGCTGAGGATAGACACATACTTAGACCTTTTCAGTCTAATACCTTACCTGCTATAGCAGACTGGATGGTGCCAAGTTTGAGAAACTTGCTTTACTATCTAATTTATTAGTGGAAGCATACAAAGATTTAACAGTTATTTGTTTAACTTAAAAAAAAACACCAGAATTCAGCAGTCCCATTTCATAAAAACAGTGGCTTGGGAGACTGAGGTGAAGCAAAAGCAAAGAATATACTCAGCCCAGGAATGTATTTACTTCTAGAATAGTATGCATCTTTCAGATCAAAGTTTTTTCTTCTTTTTGTAAGATGTTTGGTCAAGTATATTCAAAGACAGGGCAGCTTAATACTAGCATGTGCTTTCAAGCAAGTGGTATGATAAAAGGCACTCTGTGAGCAACAGTTTATCACTTGGAAATAGAGAATGTGGGCTCATTTCTGAAACGAGAAAAGAAATTGAGAAATTGTTTTATAGCACTCTGTTTTATATTAAACCCTAAAAACAATCAGTTAAAAAATCTGAACAGAAAAAAGGCTGTTTATATTGAATAACTTTTGTGTAAAAAAAATATTCTATGTTTTATTTTCCTATCAGCTCTCATTCTACCTGATAAAAAAGAATTTGCTTTGTAAATTTCTTTAGAAGAAGAAAAGGATTTAACTGAACTTATCATAGGTTATATTCTGCCATTTACTGAAAGGTTGCCAGGGTATGGTGAAAGTATCCTTTCTCCCAATCATCTACACAATCATCCAGGCTTCCATTAAATGCTAAGGAATATTAGAAAGCATTGCTCCCATTGGGTCTCCCTTAGATGCATGGGCTTCACAATGATGGAAAACAGTGCAAACAGTAGCACCCCAGTTATAACAACAAGAGAGCTTAAAAATGACCAGTAAGAACATTTACCTGCATCTCAAAGCTTTTTTAGAATAAGGAGGAAAAGAAAACCCTCCCACTTGCATGTAAAGAAGATGAATTTCAGGAAACATTAATTATAACTTGCTCTGCTGGGATCTCACAAGGGATGCCCAATTCTTCAATGGAGGGCTACCAAGGGTGACGAGTTTCTGCAGAAAGGGACTGGGTTGTAGTTTAGGTATGTCAGGATTAGCCTCAGCATATTTTTGCAGTTTTGTTAGAATCTTAGGCAGCCCAATCTCAGAAGCATAGAACATTGGACCACCCTTATATCTGGGCCACCCATAACCATTGATATAGATGGTATCAATGGCTTCTGGGCAAGATGCTATTCCTTCAGATAATATTTGGAAACCCTCATTGATAAGTGAATACAGACAACGTTCCAAGATCTCTTCTTGGGTAATGGTGCGAATTGTAATGTTGTGAGCATTCCTATAATTTTGAAGGAAATCGTGAAGCCAGGGATCAAACTTGGCTGTCTTTCCCCCAGGTTTATCATATAGGTACCAGCCCTTTCCAGTTTTCTGACCATATCTCCCCTTCTCACATAGGATATCAGGAAGAGGACAATACCGTCTACCATCTCGTTGGCGGGGAGGTGTTCCAAGAGGTAGGTTGGCTCCTGTCAGGCCCTGCCCTATTCTAGATTTCCAGCCCACATCAAGCCCAGCAAGATCAGCTACTTTGAAAGGACCCAGTTTGAAACCAAATTCCTCCATAATTTTGTCCATCTCCTCTGGAGTACTGCCTTCTTCTAAGAGGAAATATGTTTGTTCATTATAAGGAAAGAGTAGCCGGTTGCCAACAAAGCCAAAACAATTTTCTACTACAACACCACATTTGTCCATAATTTTGGCCAGGTTCATAACTGTAGCAATAACAGTAGGAGATGTGTGCTGTCCATGAATGATCTCTATTAACTTCATTACATGTGCTGGTGAAAAGAAATGAGTACCAATGACTTGCTGGGGACGGTTAGTAATAGAAGCAATCTCATCTATATCCAGGCAAGAAGTATTAGTGCCCCAAACAGTTCCTGGCTTGCAGACTTCTGATAATTTATAGAATATTTCTTTTTTCAGAACCATATCCTCAAATACAGCCTCAATAACTAGATCTACATCTTTTAGTGCACCAAAATCCAGAGTGAAGTGAAGTAATTTAGATTTATGGATATCCAGTATTTTGTCCTTCAGTTGCATTCTTAAAGCATTGCGCTCCAAAGAAGCTTTGATAGCTTTCTTTGCTATTTCAAGATGCTTCTTATCCTTCTCCAGAGCCACAACAGGAATTTTAGCCTTCACCAGAGATACCACAATGCCTTGGCCCATTGTCCCCAAACCTTTTGGATGAAAGAGAGAGAAAGAAGAAGCAATTATTAGAACATTCTGGCTAATGTTTATTAAACTGATATAATACAATGTAGGCAAATTTTTCACTCCTCAGTTAACTCTGATATTAAAGCAGAGGGAATATTAATACTATACATGTAAGAAAAGCCAGATTGTTCTAAGATCTCCAAAGTTTTTAAACAGGCAATATAATTTAGAATTTTGATGATATTTGAGCATACTAGCAAAATGGTAATTTTGGGTGATTTGTACCTTCTCAAAAATAAAGTTATTGGAATATGATCAATTACAAACCTTGAGTAAAAACATCCAGTTCTATTAATCCTGTTTATCTTTGTCCTTGTTCAGGGTAAGTAGCTGACTTCTAAATCAGGCATCCCCAACCCCCGGGCCAGGGCCATCACTGGGCCGTGGCCCATTTAGAACTGGGCCATGTAAGCGCTGGCTGGTGCATGCTTGTGTGCAGTTCAAGTTGTGTGAGCACCTGCTGAGCTGGGTATACATATGTGAGCACACCAACCTGTCGTTTGCACGAGCCAGTTCTCCTCTCCTTCCTGCCAGGCCACCAAGCCATAAAGATTGGGGAACACTGTTCTAAATAATGCATTGTACTTCAGTCTCTCATTATTTTTATTTTCTAAGAAAGTTGATTTAGGGTTCTTAGAAATTCATATTATGAAACAGTGTGTAGCTTCTCATTACATTAAAGGTGTTTTTTAATGTAAAAAAATCAAGGGGACAAGACGACTGGCAGGCACCAAGAACAGTAGGTTTTGGTGACTACATTGAAGTTCCATATAGGGAACTTCATCCCCTAGCAAAGACTGTTGTTTGAATGATTTATTTCACACAAGTACATAAAACTGGTCTTTCCCAAGTTCCATATATATAGATATCAACACAAAAATTCTCAGCGAGCATCGCCATTGCAGAGAATTCTGTGAACTGAATTCTGGGTATCTGGAGCAGCCTGAGGCTAAGCAAAGCATCACCAAAGCATGTATCACAAATTATAATCCAGAAAGCTGGGTTTGCAGAATATGCTAAATGAGCCAGATAATAAATTTATTTAAAATGTCAATATAATTAATAGTCATTTCTATACTTTGGTTACAAACGGATTGTACCTGTTTAGGTTTTGCTTAACATAGTATATGAACCCAGCACTTATGGGTCATTCAACAAACCATGATTTGAATGCAACATAGCTTATTGTGAGGTTTGAGTCCATTTATTTATTGCTGGTTAGAAATTTTTTTCTTATATCATTTTTTTCAAAACCCATGTGACCTTTTAGAAGAATGTCTTTCTTCCAAAAACTCAGAGGCCCCTAAATAGCTGGAGGAGGAATTGTAATTGGGAAAATGTAAATGGAGAAAAGGTTGAGTCCTGTTTCCCCAGAACTTAATCCCAGCCTGAATCATTGATTTCCATGGAAACGATCACATTTTAAAACATGCACACACACACATGCATACCCCTTTTTATGGGGACAGAAAAGCATTTTTCCTTGAAACAATTTCTTGCCTACTTGTATGCTGAGAAAAGTATTTATGCAGAAGTTGAAAGAACCCAATTCCAGTTCTTTAAAAACTGTAAGCACCAATGAATATTAATATTAGTACATGGTTAAGTTAAGCACTAACAAATGAAATTTATATTTGGTATACATAACATACACAGTTTTATGAGCTAGTACTGGGTTACTGCATGCTTACTTATTACAACAAAACATCAATGTGTTGCATAGCCAAGCACCAGAAATGCTCATGCAGCAATCAATTTACCAAAATGTATTTTACCAATGCCCCAGAAGCTTATCTGATTCTATTAGTCTGAAGCAATATATCAGGCTTGTATCAACACAAAGTGATCCATGCTCTTCAGTAATTACAGAGAGCTTATTGTGGACATTTCAGGAGGTGTAAAATATACTCACTGTAATTGTTCAAAGTATTAATGTTTATCTACATTCTTTATCTACATTTTCTGTTAATAATATGCTGAGAGGCTTCCAAACATGAGCACAGATTTGATTAGACATCAGTGTTTATTTATTCTAAAAGATCTATATGGCCGTTTTTCTTAAAGCAGAACTCTCCCAGATACTTCTACATCATGGCCCCTAGAATTAGTATTAAATTCCTTGTTCCTCAGAAACAAGTTTTAAGCTGATTCATAGTCATTCTTGCTGCTGCAGACCTTAAATACAATGAACAATAGGCAGTTAGTACATTTTCAGCTGATGAGTTGACAATGTAAAAAAACCAGCAGTCAACAAGCTTCTCCCAGCCATGGTTTGCTTTGTTAAATTATCTCAATGTTCAAAGTCAATGTACTATAAAGCACCAGTCCACTAAGCAAGGCATACATTTTGTAAAAGTGTTCTTAGTTTGATATAAGACCCTCACTAGCTCTGCTTCATTCCACATACTAACCTGCTCTTAGCTTGATACTAGACCTTCTACTGTTATGACACAGGTCCTCAAGGCAAGGTAGGCCTCTAGAGAGTCCTTTATTGCTCTAAGTAAATGTTCCAACAAGTGGCCCTCCAATGACTGGTAAGGCTCCAACCCATGCTATCCTGCAGGCAGCCACCCTCAGTGCCCCAAACAACAGCCCATATGTAACAAAGAAAGTCCACAGAGTAGGAGCATGCTCATGGGGCAAGGTCCAGGGTCCCAAATCCAATCCATCCAGCTAAGTGAGTCCCTGAGGCAAACTATTGTCCTCAAGGCAAAGTCAAGGTACAAGACAAAAAGCAGTTTTCAAGGCAAAAGGAAGGCAAAAGGAAGTCTTCAAGGCAAGGCGAGGCAAAAGGCACAAGTTCAAGCCAGGGGAATGTAAGCCAAAACAAACAATTATTCCTCGCAAAGACTCCCCATAGCTTCTTCTTGAGTCAATCCACTCCAGGAGTTCCTTGTGAGGAGGGGTAGGATGACCTCCTCCTGAGTAGCCTCACAGCCCTTCTTTGAGCTTGCCTACTTTCCGCTCTCCATGCCCTTGGAGCAAATAGGGGAGGCAACTGTTCCTCATCAGAGGGGCTGCTGCCTATCAGCACCACCGCCTATCTATGAGGGCAGGTAGCTCTTCATTTGGTTGCCCACCTCTCTCAATGCCTGAGGCACCTGAGACAGCATCGTCCTCAGCCCCTGGCCTCTCCAAATATTCCAGGAGAGATGTGCCATCCCCAATGGATGGCCTGGTTCCAACTCCTCCTCCTCTTCCTCTGAACCGGGCTCCAATGGGGCCATGGCATCTACTAGCTCTGCTTCATTCCACATAGTAACCTGGAAAAAGGGTGAACCTATATCTGTGCTTCTTTAAGATAGTAATTTCTGCATATTCATCACTTGTGACTTTCTGTGAAATTCATAAAGAAGACGCTTCCTTCTGCATGGTAAAGGAAATTAGGCTCATGCACATTATGTGTGCATATATGGAGCAAAATAATGATATTCCACATGTACTGAGTTTTAGACTCCATGATACTTCACACAAATGTCAGTTCTCCAATAAGTCACAGCAACTTAAAAAGGTTCAAGGTTGCAAGCAGATTTAATTTGCCACTTTTTTTTTTAGCTAAAGGGATATCAGTCATGAGAGAGCATAATTAAGGCTGCAAAGTTGCAGGGGGAAAAAGACAGATGAAGACTGGTCCCTCAAGGCTGCTTCCTGCTCAGGTGAGCTTCAGAGAGTTCAGCGTGCACACGCTGCAGCAAACCACATCTTGTACATAGTAGTCAGACTGTGGGGGGGAAGGAGTGGGGAGAACAGTGAAAGTATAATGTGACTGTCACTCTCTTAAAATCAAAGAGGGCACTACCAAGGACTGGGCTACTTAGGGAAGAGTTTCCCACTGAGTATAAACCAATCAATATGCAAAGCAACAAAGGGCTTTTGAAGAAACTGTACAGTACATCAAAGAGAGGGTTTTTTTTAATTTTAATGCCTTTATAAAAAATTAATGAGTGCATTATCTTCCTGGGGATAGGCAAGGAGAAATGGAAGCAGTGGATCATTACAATGAAAATTAAAACTTCTTAAAAGGCAAGTGTCAACACAACATTTTGAGATTAATGATTAAATATGTGAATTAAAGGAAGAAAACAATTTTTCTCTTTGCTAATTCCCTCTAGAGAGAATCTACCCAGGGTGGCAGGAGGGAAAGCAGAACAATCTCTATTATTGCAGTGACAAAACTGCGTAATATAAATTACAAATTCTTTCATTGCTGCATATCACCAAAATGTTCATTCTTCATCAACAGCTATTTTTTATTTAAAAGCAATAAAATACAGAAGGGATTTAGTATGTCACCAACTACCTTTTCTGCCTTTTCCATGGGAGATTTAAAAGAAAAGATTTACTTGTTTACAGCCCTATTTTGGGTTTGCATGATACAATGGACACTACAGTAACCAATCACATGTATTCCGGAATGTTGTGTGCACTCAGTCTGTTTGTTTAGTGTATTGTTTAGTATGTGATCTCAGAAAACTGCATCAATTGATCCATCTTTAATTAATTATAATTATGTATTGATGAAAATAGAATCGTGATCTTTCTTGTAACTGTATTATGTTTGAGGCTACAGCTTCTGAAATATACCTCTGGGAAAGGAAAATGACTGTAAGAGGAATTAACAATCTAGCTCTGCATTTTATCTATTGAAATTAAGCAATGCTTAAAATACAAACTAGGTACCTTAAAGTAACTATGCAATGCTTGCATAGTCTTTTTCATGTTTTCTGCATAAAATGTTTCTTTTCCCCAACAAAAACAACAGTTGAACTTTGAATAATTCAAAGATGTTCACAAACTTACCTATCACAGCTGCTTTCCGGATTGGTTGAGGGGGTGCAGTCTTCCAGGATGCCCCATTGGGCAACATCCATTTTTCTGAAATTCTTTGGGCAAAGAAAGCATACTGCAAGGCTTTAGCCTGGCCTGAAGTGCAAAGGAGGAGAAAAAGCTCTTTTTCCTTGCGAATTCCTTCTTCAAAGGGCAAGTACACAGAAGCTTCCACAGCTCGAAAGCACATTTCGGGTGCGAGGCACCCTGCAGCCTGTTTCTTCACCTTCAAGAGTGCCTCATATAGAATAGCTTCCATGTTAGGGAGTTTGGGAGTTTGTTTCAGAGAGAGTCTGCGAGGTCCCAATGGCTGACCTAGAGAGCGCAAACAAATAATCTCATAAAACAGGCTAGCTTATCAGTTTATCAGTTTCTTTTTCTTTGTACAAGAAAATCAATAACAACGTAAATGTTTTGTGGCCCATTCTTAAATATATTTAATATCACTGTATACAGTAGTAGTACTCATTGTGATGTGAAGTGTGCATGCGCAGTGTTGTGATAATGGTATTTGGTGAAGTTTACTTTAAGTAGGGGGGAAAGGATTGCAGTATACAGGTAGTCCTTAACTTTCAGTTGGTTGCTTAGCGACCATTTGAGGTTACAACAGAAACTTTGAAAAAGGTACTTACAAACCAAATTCAAGGTTCTAATGGCCGCCCTTACCATGGTCATGTGATTGCATTTTGGGTGCTCAGCAAAGGCCCGCATGTATGGCTGTTTGCAGCATCCTGCAGTCACCTGACCACATTTTATATTCTTTTTGCCGGAAACAGGCATTTACTTCCAGTTTTTGATAAAAAATGCCCATTGCAGACAACGAGTTTGTTTAATGACCATACCAAGGCATTCTCTTAACAACCATATATTCACTTAGCAAAAAAATGTTGTAAAATCAGGTCTGAAATTTTGGGGTCATTTATGGTATAACGTGGTTAATTAAGAACTACTTGTACTGTTTAATAGCATGTGTATTTATTTGGAAATGCAAATAATTCCTGCTAAGCACATTGGCAATTTAGATCAGCATTAATGCAAAGAATTCAATTTGTATAGTAATCTAGTCCTCCGTCTGGCCTCCCGAAACCACTTTTCCTTATCTTCAACCCAAATTAGAGCTATGAAATAAGTTGCTCTTCAAAGAATCCTGAGAGTTGCTGAGCATTTTTAATTATAAAAATGATTTAATGGCATTTATTCATAGAAAGAGTACTTTAGAATATGTAGTAATTTAAATTTAAAAGAATCGTGCCTTTCATGTTTGCTGAGAACTTTAAAACATTATTTCAGTAGAGACTGCCTTTTGTATAAAAGGAAAACAGTGTAAACAAAACTACTTCATATGTTTTAATTATCTTAAAATTTAAACCATAGCTAATAAATATTAAAATAATGTAATAAGTTATTTTCCTGTATCAGTTTGGAAAAAAGTATCACTGTGCTTATGTTCTATAGAACAAGACACCCTGAAAGATGCATGTGTGTCTTGAAAGATGTTAAATATTTTTTCTGGAGTTTTCCTATTTTTGAGACTGACTTCAAACAAGATGTTCAGAGAAAAAAGTTTCTTATATGATTTGAGAATCATAGAATTTATGGGATTTAAATTACAATCTATGCCTATTTGTAGAAGCCATATGGTAGGTAACCATTTTATAGTCTGTGGCACTCAGATAGACAAGCCACATTTCCCTATCTCCTCATTCCTAAAGCACCATCGGTAAAGACAGAAAACTAATGCCAGCAAAATGTGCCTTTCTAGAAGTACTTTCTTTCTTAGATGTGGGTACGTTTCTGTATAAAGACCATGTGTCAGCTTGTTGTGACCCTGTGATATCAGATGTGTTTAACGTTGAACTATATTTATTTTTGGTCCATCTGCAGGGCATTTGAAAACGGTTTTTCCCCATTAGCAGGAACGCTTGTGTTGCCCTGCAGCCCTGTTGCTACGATTTCTCTCTTTTAAAGGAAGAAGCAGCTTAAAGCATTTTCTGTTGCTCTAATGAAATCTCTGTGAGCTAATTTTATTTTATTTTTGTATACAAGATAAAAGTGTACAAGATGAAATAAGGATATGGATAGTGCGTGGGCCAACAATTTATAGTATTTGATTACTTTTTCATATGGAGTAGGGGACGAGTGGACTTGCTTCTGGTGAGGCAGTGTACTCTGTTCCTTTTACTCACTATTTCATGGCTGGCAGGTTTGGAAATGATTGCTAATTATCTGCAAATAGCTTTTATAGAATGAAAATGGTATGAAGCATTAAGGAAATATTGCTAATAGAGGTAAGATTTGAAACATTCCTGGTTTGACAGGATTATTTTTTGTATGTCACTCTCTTCTATTAAGAAGCATAGAACAGCTATAGTATTAACAAGAAGCCAGCCATTGTCCAGATTTTATTTAACAATGGCATAGCAGTTGCCTTCCTGGAACTTAAGCTGCAATCATTGCTTTGGTGAACACTGAGAATGATTGCAGAAAGTGACATTATTTGTCAAAGTTTGGCGCCATCATGTGGACAAACGGCAGAGTGTGTTGAGAAAAGCAACTGATGTAAAACATCCACTCAGGTCAAACATTTTTTATTTCTTCACAACTGAGTTAAAATAATATTTCCTGAAATACAAATTGCATTTGAGAAATCTGTATTTTCGTGCATCTGAGTTAATCCCCAGAGCAACCCAATATGTATTTTTGAGAAGAAATGCCAATTGACTAAAACCCAGTAAATATAGATAATATCATTACTTCTGTGTGTTTACAAGCTAACTGGTTAAATGTGGAAACTTGACTATATGAAGTATATGTCATTAATCACTGTCTTCTTCAGTGAAAAACATGGCAATTTTATGGGCATGTGGGAAAATACAGTTTCTAGAGCTAGCTTTTTTTCTTGATACTTAAGAAAAACATTGACTAAACCAGTGCTTTGTTATTCAAAAGTTAAGTTCCTTTTGGTGTCTCAACTTCTACAAAGTGTCCATTAGGTTGCTTCTATTTTACAAAATAATTATTTCATTTAAACCAGTGGTACAATTTAGTCATTCAAAATGTCCACAAGACTAAGGAATCAATTCCACAAGAACATTAAAGCTACTTTTATAAAAATTGGCTATAACAGAATCTTGCAAGTCTGATGTATCTCATCCCCTTTCTCAAAATTCAATGAATTAGGGAGGAATCTGACTGACCATTTCTGAATACAGTAGAACCTCTGGTCACGAACGCTTCTGACCACGACTGAATCGAGTTCCGACCAAAAAATTCCCTTTTTTCCCCCTCTGCAGCTGATTTCCCCTTCCGCGCCATTGTTTTTGTAAGTGCCAAATTTCCAAAATTAGATTTGGGTCACAACCAAATCGGGTTGTGACCAAAATTATGGAACGAATTATGGTCGTGACCAGAGGTTCTACTGTATGCTCATTCCAGACTTTAAAAAGGCTTATAGCCCCTTACACTTAAGCAAAGATCATACAAGTTCATGTCAAGATTATCTTCCTTCCTCTCTCCAATTTGTAATACACATAGTCCTTGGCTTACAATGACAACTGAACCCAAAAAGTCTATTGCCCAAGTGAGATATCTGTTAAGTGAGTTTTGCCTCATTTTACGACTTTTCTTGCCACATTTATTAAGAAAATCACTGCAGTTGTTAAATTAGTAACACAATTGTTACTAATCTAGCTTCCCCATTGACTTTGCTTGTCAAAAGGTCACAAAAGGTGATCACATGACTTTGAGACACTGCAACCATCATAAATATGAAACAGTTGCCAAGGGATTGAATTTTTATCACATGATTATGAGGTTGCTGCAGCAGATGTAAGTGTGAAAAACACTTTTTAAAGTGCCATTGTAACTTCAAATTGTCACTAAATGAACGGTTGTAAGTTGAGGACCACTTGTATATATAACTATAAATACAACTAAGTTTTGACTGGTCTTACAATTCATAGTCACCTGCATATGAACCAACTATAATTTTACTATTTCTTAAGAATAAAAACAAACCTGAATGAGCTGAATTCCTGATGTTGCTCAGTGTATGTTGTATCATATTGAGCAATTTGTGTTGGGAGAAATTTCCATGACTGAACTGCATAAAGAACACTATGTTCTGTTCCCATGTTGTCTCATTATGATATTATATCACTGTATGTTAATTGTCTAACTGCCAAGAAGGAATTATGCAAGCAGAAATTTCTAGAAACAGATTTGCAAATTATGAAGGTAGAAAACAAACACTTTAAAATGGTCATTTCATACTTTGTAGACCTGGTATTTGTGAATGCTCTTATAAAACGATTGCCTATTCACAAAGTGGGTGTCGTGACAGGTATAGCGAATTATAAAACACCAATTTATCAAAAGCTATCAGCCAACAAATGATAAGATAGCCAGATAACCAGATAGATAGGTAGGTAGGTAGAGGAATATATAGATAGAGACAGACAGACTGACAGATCGACAGACAATAAATCTGATTTTCAATTATAATATATATGGCTATTTATTTAACTTTTCCTCTGCTTGACCCCCAACTCCTATGGCAGTACACTACAATTTTAAATTTAAAAACCTTGCACCAACCAATAGTAATATCAGCTAAATAATTCTTTCCACTGGTTGGTATTTTCTTTTGGGAATTTGTTGTATTAAATTTTGCTCGGTACAACTGAATGTTCTTACCCAATATTCTTTGTGCTAACTTTATAGCTGCTTCAACTGGATTTTCTTCAACAATCTCATCTAAGATCTCCAGTTTCAATGCTTCAGTAGCTGGTACATGTTTACCTAACAAAAATAAATATTACTTTTTAATTTAGGGTTCTCTTAAATTCCATCTGCTCCTTGGGAGTTTCAAAGTATGTTATTGGTAGACTATTTTGAGCATAGACCAGGGGTCTCCAAACTTGGCAACTTTAAGATATGTGTACTTCAACTCCCAGAATTCTTCAGCCAGCCATGAGAAATTCTGGGATTTGAAGTCCACAACTCTTAAATTTGACAATTTTTAAAACCCCAGTACTAGACAAAATTGGTAAATCTTTTATCCCACAATCAGTTATTAGAAAAGCATGCTAAAATAATAAAGGGAAATCCACTAACATCATTAGCAGAAAGGGGTCAGCAAGGCAGTATTGCCTACTAAACTGTAAGGCACAAGTGGCCTATATATTCTATAGGTAGCTTCTATAGCACAGCAGCCAGTTAGAGAATAAGGATGCTTGTCAGCTGATTATTGGGCTGATGTGCTGAAACATTAGAATTGATAACTAACAAATCAGTAGGGATCAGGTGACAGAAAAATCAAACAGAACCCTATAAAATAATTGGCTCTGGCCTAGGTTCTAGTTTTCAATGTCACTCAGGGATTAGCTAAATGGCTTTGATTGTTCGTACAATTAACATCACACTGAACTTCAGATCACAAAACTGGTGGTCTTAAGTGTCACAAATAAGCTGTCATGGGTACAAACTTTTTAATATAAACTATTAAATAAATATTTAAGTTTTAAAATAAAATATTATAATCAATATAAGGCCAAAGCAGTATCAAAGTTTTTAAAATAATATCCAAGAAATTCACTGTTTCACCTTGCTTTTTTGAATGTTGTGAGACAGAATACAGTGATGATGTAACAGAATAGTGCTAAATCTAGAAACATTCAGAAATCATGTATTTGCATGAGAAGCACAATATCCTTCAAAATAAAGTGGAAAGCCAAACCTAATTTGGAATAACAGAACTCCCAAAATACTGCATATTTTTCAGTCTTCTCTGTAGGATTGTATATAAAAGTAATATTCCCAAAATTACCTGAATTTCCTCTATCAACACACTCATTTTCAGGTGCACATCTTAGGGAAAAGTCCATCTAAAGTGTTGCTAATTTATCAGATATTTTCTAGCTGCTACCTAAGATTAGCTAGGTAATATTTCAGATGATGAATCTAACAAATCCAGAAAGTATAAAACATTTTTTTACTGTAGTCATGCTATCCTATATTTCTGGAAGGTATTACATAAAAACTGCAACATATGCAAATATGCCATATAATATTTGCACACGGCATATGTGTATTCACAGATGAAAGAATTTACCTGTGATGATCATATCAAGTGCAGCTGGTACTCCAATCAATCGTGGAAGCCGTTGAGTCCCACCTGCTCCAGGAAGTAAACCTATTGTGACTTCTGGCAAACTAACTTGAGCCTGGAGTGAGGATGAAATATTTCTAAATATTTACAATATATAGAACATATAGCATCTTCTCCTCTAACTTTTTTTAAAATGCTCTATATAAGCCTGTAAGCCATATGAGTAATGTTGAAAAAGATGAACTAATCTGGAGAAAAGTTGTATTTCAAAATCCTGGATTCTCTATTCCTCTTCTAAATTTAAAGTTATATTTATAGTTGTTGTATCATCAGGCAAACTTTGATTCCTGGATCAGTAATACAATCTTACTTATCAAAGTGGGCTTCCTCTGTAAAATAATGTTATTAAATTTTACAAAGCATAAACATAAAAAAATAACTTAAACTATCAATCAAAAGAAACGATCAAGAATAAAAACAGAATAGAGATAGAAATGTAAAGAAGTATAAATAAAAAGAAAGGAAAACACAAATATATTCAAAGAATAAAAAATATTTTCCCCTTTTAAAATTGTAATAATTATCAAATCCATATGTCAAAATTTGATTTTTCTCCATCACCTACAAAATTTCCACAAAAGACTTAGAACTGTAGATGAATTCCTTCAGTGATTCCATCTCTGTCAACTTTATTAACCATTCCTCTACTACTGGCATCATAGGTGCTTCCAGCGCTGAGTATACAAAAGTCATGCTGCTATAGGTATTATCATATATAACAATAAGTAAAGTACTTTTTTAGCACTGTTGTAATTGCAAATGGTAGTTAAATGAGGCAGTTGCTAAATTTGGGCCTGTATTGTTCTATAATAAGTATCCATTGCCTTGATTACATATTATTCATTTTATAAGGTATTTTTTATTCAATTGGAATTATTAATCTTATTTAAATAGCTTCCACAGTAAATTACAATGATACTATGCACACAATGGCACAACTGTGCAAATACCACAATAAAGTAATTGCAGCAGGAAATATGATACATGTGTCACCATTCCCCTGCCTCAAATGTACATAATCTTCAGTTTTTTCATGTTGCTTTCTAGGATTGATATCTTTAAATTTTTAATAGAACATTTTATAATTCATAGGTATTTGGTTGGGAGAGATACATAGACATCAGGGGACTCTAGATGATAATGATACTTTAAAGACATCTTACCTTCATGTTTGCAATCCTATAATGACAGCCCAGTGCCAACTCCAGGCCTCCTCCGAAAGCTAGGTCTTCAATAGCAGCCACAAATGGTTTTTCACTCTTCTCTATAAAAGCAACTACAGACTCCAAATTTAGGGTATATTTATGAATACCAACAGAGAATCCTCTGATATCAGCACCTAAAAAAATTGAACCAAATTCTGAGATTCCATGATTGCTTTAAATAACCACCTCATTAAAACCTTGTGCTAATTAGCATAAAACCAAAATGTACTGAAGATTGACATACTTCAAATAGGAAAGGTAACCTTGATTTAATTCAAGATTTTGGTTCGTATTAGACTCTCTGCTTATAAAAATCAATGGAATACAAGCAGGAGCATTTTTGCCTGCTTGCAAAGTATTTCATGTTTCCCCTAAATCTTCTATGAAAATTTGAGGAGAGAGCATAGTGCTCAAGAAAAGATTGGGGTTCATTGACATGTATATCTAATAAGTATAGTTTAAATCTTGGGTACATGAGCTCCCATTGCTCAAACTTAATGAAAAATTGCTCAAACTTAATGAAAAGAAGGACCAGGAGTGACATGATAGCAGTGTTCCGATATCTCAGGGATTGCCACAAAGAAGAAGGAGTCAAGCTATTTTCCAACGCACCTGTTGGAAGACAAGAAGCTATGGAGGGAAACTAATCAAGGAGAGAAGCAACCTAGAATTAAGGAGATATTTTATGACAGAACAATTAATAACTGGAACAACTTAAATGCTCCAATACTGGAAGTTTTTAAGAAGAGATTGGACAACCATTTGTCTGAAATGGTAAAGGGTTTCTTGGCTATGCAGAGGTTTGGACTAGAAGACCTCCAAAGTCCCTTCCAACTCTCTTGTCCTATTCTATTCTATTCTATTCTATTCTATTCTATTCTATTCTATTCTATTCTATTCTATTCTATTCTATTCTATT